GGGTATGTTGGGTTGGTATGTGGGTTCTAGCGGGCGTAGGGAAAAAAAGGGGGCGTTATGTTGGGTTGGGTTCTGGCGGGTCGTAGAACGAGGGGGAGGGGTATATGGTTCTGGCAGGGTGTAGACAATGGGGGGAGGGGTATGTTGGTTGGGATGTGGGTTCTGCCGTTGCGTAGAAAAAGGGAGTTGGTATGTGGCTTCTACTGGAGCGTAGAAAAAAGGGGGTATGTTGGGTTGGCATGTGGGTAGGGGGGATTGTATTCTGAAAATGCTGATATGGTAATGATAGTAATTATGATAATAGCAATAAAGATAATGCTATTGTTACTACTAATAGTAATAGAATTATTGATGATAGAAATAATATAGATAATAACAGTAATGATAGAAAAGATAATGATAATTATAATAACAATATCGATAATGATGATGTAAAAAAAAATCCCCCTAGATTTTATACACAAATTCGCTAGTTTAGTGAAATTCCAGACATCTCCCCCGCCAGACTGACTATTCAAAGTCGCTAGATTTAGCAGAAAGAAAAATCGCCCCTATGACACACTGCCTCGACCTCCTTACCCCTCGTGGCTCCGAACTTCTCTTCTCCTTCGGGCCGACAGGGAAGTCCTCGAGGTCATCGTCAAAGGCGTCTAGTTCCCAGAGGCTTGGGTAGGCGGCCACGGCAGCCACCAGCAGCGCCGCTGTCAGGAGTCTGGAAGGGAGAGAAAAAAAGGGGGAGAGGTGAGGTGGGGGTGAGAGTAAGTTGCTTGGGGATGAGGGGATAGGGGGGGGGGGGGTTGTAAGGGGGGTGGGAGGGAGGGGGGGGATTGGAAGGGGTAAGGGTTAAGATTGAGGGAGTTGAGGAATGATGGGGAAGTTGATGGTGTGGTTTGATGGTGATTGCAAGAGTTGTAAAATTGAATCGTGGGATGAGTTAACGCTAAAAGATGAAAAAATAAAAATCTGGGGGAGCAAAAGCAAAAAAAAAAAAAAAAAAAAAGTGAAACTAGTAAAATCAAACCGTCATAGCAACTTGTGAAATAACGAAAGGGGAAAATCGCACTAAAAATGACTAAGTATCGTAAAAAAAATATTCATGAATTCATGAGTAACCCCAATAACCAAAAGTCTATCCATGTGCATCACACTTCAAACAACATAATATTAGAACGAATACAAGCGCAATGACCAGTATCACCAGTAAATAAAGTTACTATTACCGATATTATCACCGGCTTTATTATTGGTATTACAGCTAAACCTTCTTTTGTACTTATTACTTATTTCTATTGATAATCATCATATCAATAGAAATGATTATAGTAATGATTATAGTAATAATATTAATGATGAAGGTAATGATTATCATGGCGATGATAATAGTAATAATACTAAAATTATATTGATGATAATGGTAATAATAATGACAGTATTATAAGTTATAATGATATCATTAATAATAATTATAGTAATAATAAGGTTAAAAGTAATGGTAATCATAATGATGATAATGTGGATAACGATAAGTATGATAACATCGCAGATAATAGTATAACTGAAATAGAACAGTGTTTCTATCATTTCAGTAGCCTCACGTTATCGCAAATTTACACTAGGCCTATTAAGACTATCGGCCGGTTTGTTAAAATTGTGCCAGGGCCGACTCAGCGAATATTCGTATAAACAGACATCCATATACACATAAGTAAATGCATATCTATCGATCTATCCAATAAATTTATTTTTTTTTTCTATCTGTACGGTAGATATGTACGTCTAGAGTGATAGATATGCATTCATTTCTGCGTATATGAATGTCAATTAGGTCGGGCCTGGTACAATTTTAACAAACCGGTTGTATATCTTTGAAGAAGGAACTCAAATTTCATTCATCGTTTTCTATTCATTCAATTTTTTTCGAAGTTGTCAAACAGGTCAAAATTATAACTGAATCTCACTGTATCTTTCTTTCTCAACATCAGCGAAATACGTTATGGATCGCAGCGCTGTCAAGGTAAAAGCCATATTAGGAGAATTTATATCTTCCTGAAGTCCACTCAGATAACACCAGCTGCTAAAGGCCTAAACGCATACTCATATTCACTATCCAAAAGCGTATTAAGTCAAAAAGAAATTTGCGTTTTGAAAATTACTGCCAAGAATGAGCACTCGGTGTAATCGCTCCAGGTGGATATCAATGAACACTTCATATGGCAACACTCTTCACTTTGGGACGATGGATAGAGAGAAAAAAAAAAGTCTAAGTCCATTGCGTTATTACATTCTCCACAGAAAAGGGACGCTGTCTAAGGGAAAAATGAAAAAAAAATGTTAGAAGTTAAAAAAAAAAAATCTTGGCCAAAATGCAAAAGGCAATGGCGTATGTGCCTTACCTGAGATGCATGTTGGGACGGCGTACACTTCAACTTTGCAAGGCTGTGAAGAGAAGAAGTGTTCGCTTGGTGGCACCGTAAAACACACTGACTGGCAGAGGCGTGAC